GAAGGACCAGCGTGGCAGCCAGGTTGTGTCAACCTGGTACTGGACATCCATGTGTTGGACATGTGTACTTCACTAATGAACACACATGAAACTGATCAAAAGGCACAAGCCAAGGGGACAGGTGAAATACAGAAATGACACAGAAGTCTATGCATGAACTGTGTCTAAAAATTGAGTGAATGCTTAAATTTAAAAAAAATCAGTGCAGTAAAAGACACATTACCTATTGTAGTATTTAGATTTTTTGATGCTTTCTGTTTCAGTTTAGTACAAGAGGAGAGATATGGGTCCAGTTCTACCCTTCAGCACGTAGAAAGCCAATTTCCCCAGCACCATTTATTAAAGAGGCTGTCTTTCTTCCAGGGAAGGTGCCTGGCCTCTTTGTCAAAGATGAGGTTGCTGAGTGTGTTTGGAGCTTTTTTTTATATCATCTACCCTGTTCCTTTGATCCTCAGGTCTTGGTTTTTTTTTTTTTTTTCTTTTTTAGTACTGGGGATTGAACTCTAGCCCTTGTGCTTGTGAGGCAGGCAGCAGAACCACTGAGCCAAATCCTCAGCTCCTACACGTCTTTGTTTTTGTTTTTGCCAAGGCAAAGCTGTTTTTATTACTGTAGCTTTGTAGTATAATTTAGTCACGGGTTGTGATGGCCCTGCCTTTCCTTTGTTGCCCAGAATTGCTTTTGCTATTCTAGGTCTCTTCTGGCTCCACATGAACTTTAGGATGTTTTCTCTAATTCTGTGGGGTATGCTATTGGTACTTCATCAGGATTGCATTAAATCTATATAACAATCTTGGCATTATGACTATTCACTAAATTGGCTCTTCCTAAGGACAAAGGATGCTTTTCAATTTTATGATATCCTCATCCTCTTCAATCTCCTTTATCAGAGCACTGTAGTTTTCAATGTAAAGGTCTTTTACTTCCTTCATCCACTTTTTAAATGTTATTGTGAAAGATGTGGTTTCCCTAATTTCTCTCTCAATGAGTTTGTTATTCAGGTACAGGAAGGCTATTGATTTTGGGGTGCTAACTTTGCATCCAGCTACACTTCTGAATTTAGTTATTAAATCCAGAAGTCTTTTGGTAAAGTTTTTGGGGTTATCTATATAGAATATGTCATCCACAAATAATGATGACTTCTTCCTTTCCTGACCTTATTCCTTTTATTTATTTCTCTTGTCTGATTGCCCTGGCTAATGTTTCCAGATCTATATTGAATAGGAGTGGGGACAGTGGATATCCTTGTCTTGTTCCTGATTTTAGAGTGAAACAGAACACTAAATCTGCTGGAAGACAGAAAAGTAGAACTCTTGAAGACACAGGAGTAGGCAAAGACTTTATGAACAAAACCCTGATCACACAGTAAATAATTACAAAGTATCAACAAGTGGGATCTCATCTTATTAAAAGATGCCAAAGAAATCACCAACAAAGTGAAGAGACAACCCACAGAGTGAGAAAATATTTTTGCCAGCAGTTCCTCAAAGGACTAATATCTAGAATATATGAAGAACAACAATAACAAAAAAAAAAAATCAGGACCCACTCCCCAAAATTTAAAGACCCAATCCAAAAATGGATTCTCAGATAAAGTAGAAATGCCAAATAAATATATGAAAAAATGTTCAAAATCACTGGTCATTTGAGAGATGCAAATTAAAACAACACTGAGATTCCATCTCACTCCAGAAAGAATGGCTGCTATCAAGAAGTCAACCAATAACTGATGGTGAGGGTAAGGGAAGAGGAACACTTCTCCACTGCTGGTGGGAGTGCAGACCAGTGCAACCACTATGGAAATCAGTGTGGAGATTCCTCAAAAAACAAAAAGTACAGGTTCCATTTGACCCACTATTTCTCTTCTTGTTATCTTCCCAAAAGAATTAAAAGCATCACACCATAGTGATACATGCACACACCCATGTTTATAGAAGCACAGTTTGTAATAGCTAAATCTTGGAAACAGTCCAAATGCCCACCAAACAATGAATGGATAAAGAAGATATGTTTTTTAAATATAATGCAGTACTACTCTGCTACAAAGAAAGATAAACCTGAGACATTTCTAGGTAAATGGATGCACCTTGAGACCATACTCTTAAGTGAAATAAATTGGACACGTGTACAAATACATTGTTTCTCTGGTGTAACAAACCAAAATGGTAAATAAGAATCAGAATGTATAATAGATACTGGGAAAAAAGATGAAAATCTTCAAATGGGAAGGGGAACAAGGGAGAGAGGAGGGGGAAAGGAAGGAAGGGAAAAGACAACAGAAGGAAAAAAACGGAAACAGCTTCTGTAAATAAAGAAGGCAATCACAAAGAATGGCTGCTATCAAGAAATCACAAATTACAAATGTTGGCAGGGTTGTGGGGAGAAAGGAATCCTTCTCCATTGTTGGTGGGAGTGCAGACTGGTGCAACTACTGTGGAAATCAATACGGAGATACTTCAAAGAGTTGGGACTAGAGGTTCCATTTGACCCAGCCATACCTCTGCTGGATATCTTTCCAAAAGAACTAAAATAATCATATCACAATGATATATGCACACCCATGTTTACAGCAACACTGTTTGTAATAGCTACAACTTGGAAACAGCCCATTTTCCCATCAGTTGGAAATTGGATAAAGAAGATGTGGTTTTTCTATAAAAGGGAATATTACTCAGCCATAAAGAATGAGAAATTAGATTGATTCATTCATAGGAAAATGGATACATTTTGAGGATATACTCCTAAGTGAAATAAATAAGTCACAAATGTGTAAATACCAAATAATTTCTCTGGTGTGAATAAACTATAATAGTACATAAGATCCTAATGAGATAATTGACAATGTGAAATAGGAAGAAAAGGGCTAAAGGTGTAGGGAAAGTGGGAAGGGTAGGGAAAGGGAATAAGGGAAAAGAAAAAAATATGAGAAAATGAAAAAATGGAAATAAAGTGTTTGTAAACAGGGAGGGTAGAAGGGGGAGAAGGGAGGGCAGAGACAAGGGGAAAAAATGAGAACCAAGACCTGTCATGTAAAGGTACAAGATCCCAATAATGAATGTAGCTGTACTGTGTATCTAAAATGTACCAATAAAGTCAATTTAAAAAATGAAGGGAAGAAGTGCTGAAAGGAGGGGAGGGGACTGGGGAAAAAAGAAGAATCAAGACACATATATATGTGAGTGTGTGCATTTTTGGGGGGTACTGGGGATCAAACTTGGGACCTTGTGCTTGAAAGGCAGGTACAGTGCCACCGAGCTAAATGTGCACCTCAGAATCAAGATATACTATGTACAGGTACAAACTCCCTATGATGAATGTGATCATTATGTATATCTAAAATGCACCAATAAAATTAATTTTAAAAAGACACATTGCCATTAATCTCCCTCTAAATACTCCCCACACTTATCCCATTGTCCTTGCCACTTTCTAAAGCAGTTCTGAAAAAAAAAAAAATTTTTTTTTTTTTTTGGTACCAGGGATCAAACCCAGGTCCTTGTGAGGCAGGTGGCAAAACCACTGAGCTAAACCATGGGCCCCTGAAAGTTCTCCTTCATAAGTGTCTTTAGTTGCAGTGTTGTGGCTGCCTCTATGTCCTGAATGAATTTAAAACATTGATCTTTCATGGTCATTTTGACTTTGAGGAAGAGCCAGAAGTTGCATGGTATTAAATCTGGTGAATAAGGTGGATGAGGACACAGTGTAACGTTTTTGCGAGCCTTCCTCTCCTATGGACAGCACTGGGCAGCAGCACTCACCATCATGTTTTCGTTTGTTTGCTTGTTTGTTTTGATACCGGGTATCGAACTCGGACCCTTGCACTTGGAGGGAGGCGGCGGAACCACTGATCCAAATCCCCAGCCCTACATTCACCATAGGGGTGATCACACAGTGTAAATATACTAAAGAAAGAGGACTTCAGCACTGCTTCAGAAAGTGGCAGGAATGACAAATGTGCTCAAAGCAAGGGGAGATATTCTGAGGGAGATGAGTGGAATGTGTCTTCTGCTATAATAAATATTTAAAATTTAAACATAAACCATTACTTTGATTATACCTTGTATAGTATGATTCCATTTTAATATATTTTTAAAATACCTATATGCTTAAATATATTTTTTAGAAAAGGTACATAAAACTACCACTATGGAGAAGAGGAGAAGATGCAGGAGAGGACAATATGCTCTTACATTTGACATCTTTCTTTATGATCTGAATTTTCTCTGACAGACTCAATAGTTTATTTACAAGGGAACCAATTTTACACAGCATTTGTTGGGTTGCTGAAAGTTTTTATACTGAACCAGTATTTGTTGAGTAGCCCCTTGGCACTATTGTATTCTCTTCTTTTTGATACAAGGTCTCGCTACATAGCTGATCCTAAACTTGAACTCACTATGTAACTCAGGCTGGCTTCAAATTAGCAGCAATCCTCCTTGCCTCAGTCTCTGGAGTGCTGGGATTATAGGTGTGTGTTACCACGCCCAGGATATAGCAGTCAACAGAAAAGGAAAAGCCCTGCCTGCCTGGAGCTGACATTCTAGTACAGAAACAGACAAAAACAAAATAGTAAATTATTAAGGTGCATTTGGCGGTGCCATTGACCCCGTGGCCAACTGGTCACCAAGGCATGATTGTGACCAGCTTGACCACAAGGCATGATGGTAGGCCAGTTAGAACACTAAGTATGCTGTCGTTCACTGATGTGTTTTTCTTGCACAACTTTCCCAGTGAAGGCAGCCGAAACTGGCACACTCTGTCTCATCGAAAACATGTAACCAACTGTTCCTGACGTGGCTGGCTGGAAGCTGCGTGATACATTCATAGTGGGGCCGGAATTCCTGTCTCACTGGAGACAGTGGGGCTGGAGAGTGGTCCCAATCTTGCAAAGAAGAAGTCGGAGAAGACCTTGCGGAATTAATAACCGTCTCAAAATACCTGGGTAGGAAAACCAGGGCAAACATAAAGCAACATGACCCATGAAAAATGGGGCTCCACTCACCAGGAAGGGTGTGCAGACCCAGGTGAAGGTGCCCACGGCCGCCAGGTAGGCAGACTTCTTCAGCACCTTCAGCTCCTCCTGCCGGATGGCCATCACCTTGTCCTTAAACGCCAGCTCCCATGCGTACAGCTTCAGCACCTTGATCCCGTTGAGGATTTCATTCATCAACTTGATCCGACTGTCTTTGCTCTTCATGTGGGCCACCTTCACAGGACGGGGGAATCCACGGTCAGAGGGCGGGTCACTCACCTCCGTCCTGTCGTGCCACTTCATCACTCAGGGGCACAGCGACAAAACGCAGGTCTCCCTGATGCTGGGGGGCTGAGCTGGAACCCCCGTGAGCCGGACGCTTGGCCCGAGACCGCCCCAACAGACTCCTCTATCACGAAAGAAAAAGTCATCCCGCTAGATTAGACATGAGAGAAACCTATTCAACAGAACCACGGATTAGAAGTGAAAAAGACCTCCGGAGCTTGCAGTAGGAGCGGGGCTTTACTCTGCTGATGAACATAGTGGGGATGCTGTTATTTTTCTTCTTTATTTTCTCAATTGATCTGCTACCAGTTCTTGGCTGTTAAAACCTGAAATGTTTCCATAACAGCGGGCACTGATTCAGACCACTGGGTGTCCATGCTGTGCCGGCAGTTAAATAGCTTACCGCTACCTGGTGGCATCTTCCACCAGCCTGGCGCTGTTCTAAGCATTTCACATACATTCAACCATTCAACATGCAGGACTGGCTCGTTGGGTGGCTTAGGCCACTGGTGGCACAAGTGAGACAGTCATGCATGTGCCATGGGGTTCAAGCCACCTGGCAGTGAGACAGGAGTTACGGCCCCACTGTGAATGATCACACTCACAAGGACCAAGGAGGTCCCCCCAGGTCCCAGACAGGATGCTCTTAAGCAATACGACCCGCACACTGGTGACAGCTACAGAGGTGTGCACTGGGAGAAGCCCACACACACAGGGGACAGATGGGAGGTGACGGCCCTGAGCCTGCTGCCTCCCCTCCCCAGTCTGTCCCACCCCACTTGAACCACATCCTGGAACTCACTGTCCCTGCAGATCGCAGGGAGCCAGGAGTCCTCACCTGAAATCTACAGGCACATGAGAACACCCATCTTCCAAGAGGACAGAAACAAACTCCACCTCTTACGCACCAGCAGGCGCCAGCTCAAGGAAATGAATTCGCAGTGCAGGCATAGCACAGAAAGACTGATGCGTGCTACCAAATTAGAAAACCACACTGCTGGGCAGGCCCGTTTGGGTAAAAATATAGAGGGTGATGACATCACAAAAGCACATGGATACACACACCAACCCCAAATGATACAGCTCATTACAGTCCGACAATTGCTGGATTTAATGGGTTCATAGTAGTTGAGAGGGTAGGGAAGGAGATATCACCTTTCAGTTTATACACTTTTATGTTATCTGAATATTCACCTTGCTATTGAGTATTTAAATACTTAAAAGTTTAGCTCAGTGGTACTGCCATCTGCCTTGCAAGCTCAAGGACCCGAGTTCGATCCCCAGTACCAAAATAAATAAAAATAAAAAAATACATACTTGAAAAATACAAAGTACCTGTAAAAACAAAATTTAACACCATGCACAGCATAAAGTAAGAGCTCAGCAGGGGAAAAGCCAGGCATGGCAGTACATGCCTATAATTCCAGCACTCAGGAGGCCGAGGCAGGAAACTCTCACTGTAGGACACCAGAGAATTGAGGCCTGATTGGCCTGCTCTGTGAGCACAAAGGAGAAAGAGTACATTCAGGCGATTGCATATTGCAGGCTCTAGGGGAAACATAAGACAGCAGAGGTTGAGTTGTTTCCCAGAGCAGGCACTAATGGACACTGGAAAGCAGATGAATCTTGTTACTTTGATTGCTGGTTCCTGTGTCTGGGTGAATAAAGGTGAGATGAGCCAGATGGCTGGGGCTCCTCTGCCTACTAAGAGGTGAGAGCCCCCAGCTGCCCAAATGCTAAACTGACACTAGGACTCTGCGCCACACGCCACCCCCGGTCAGAGAGGACAACAGAGCAGGTGTGTAGGTCCTGGAACAAGGCTGGCTGGGCTGTTCAGCTACAGGAATGGGGCTCAGACCGGGCTCCGCCAGAGTGTGAGGCCAACCTGGCTATACAGGGAGTTCAGGTCCACCCTGAGAGACATGGTAAGACCCTGTCTATGAATGAATGAATGCTCAGTGGGGAGAAAAAGTAGACAGTGATTTTTACTCAACTCTTGAAAACACAGCAATACAAAAGTGAGTGATTTTGTGGGAAAGATGGAGCTTTTCAAAAGCTCCCAGATGCCGCGATTTCCATTACCTGTTCACCAGGGTCTGACTCTCAGGAGCCCTGGACCTCGGCTGCCAAGGGGTCACCCAGGAAGTGCTAACACAGCCCAGTGACCAGACCACTGAAGAAAGGAGAACGGGGAAAGGGACCTGGCATCTGCTAGCCCCCCAGGTGATTCTAACAGACAGAGGAGGCTGAGGGCCCCGGGAATGACCAGGAGGCCCCCAGCCAACACCTGTGTGTACAGGACTCAGCCAGGGCCATGTGGAGCCTGGCACGGACAGGCACCTACCTGATAGGTCTTGGTCTTCATCGCCATCACGGCATTCAAGGGCACCATGAGGATCATCACGGCCACCCCAGCCAGGACGGAAGGGCCCAGGTTCTAGACAAACGGAGAAGACAGTCACTCAGCAAACAGGAGAGAACAGGGCCTTCATGCTCTACACAGGCTGCCTGCCCTACACAGATTCAGCCACGTGAGCCGGGGGCAGATGCATTCCTTCTGTCCAATGATGGGGTAAAATGCTGGTGGCCTTGGGGGCCTCCCTAACCCTTCAAGAATGCACAGGTCTATGATCCCTTAAGCTCTTGGGCCCAGCTGAGTCTTACAAATTAGAAGTGTAGAATTTTAGAAAGGTAAAATAATCCTGTGTAAGAGACAGTTCACACAGCACTCCTGACCCCTTATGGACTTGAAAGGTGCTCACAAGTCTGGCCCATGGCTGGGAACTTACTCTACCACTCTCGAAACGGGCACGAGGGACTCGCTGGGCCTAAATGTTCTGCACAACCAGTACGGCTTATGTTGGACTCTGCTTTCCCTCCTGGGAGGCTGGAACCATGGAAGGCTCTAGGCAGAGGACACCCTATGACTGGCTCTCAGAAACAACTCCTGGCACTGCATATTTATCCCACTGGGAGTGGGGATCTCATGTGTGCTCTGCTAGAGAATTAAGTAGATCCGTGTGTTCCACTCCCTGGGAGAGTCTAAGAGCCTGAAGCTGGTTCCCCTCGACTTTGCCCTGGCTGCCTTTATCCTTTGTTGACCGGATTATCATAAATTACAGCCAGGGGTGCCACTGGCATCAGGTGGGAAGACAGCAGCGAGCCATGAAGTACTCTGGAATGTGAAGGACAGTCCCCACAGCGAGGGCTTAGCCAACCCCAAGAGTCCACAGTCAAGGCTAAGCAATCCTCCTCCACATGAGAATGGTGGTGTCAAACAACTTTCTCAGTGGTTCATAAACCAGTTCTCTGGAAACTGAGGACAATTCTCAAAAAAAGCATTCCGGAAATATTTTCACCTATAGGTGGTATTTTCTGGGGATGTAAACACCTAAGATATCTGCCTAGAAAAGACATTTACTTAGATATTTGGATTCTAGTGTTTAGAGCCAGGGATGTAGCTCAGTGGGAGAACCCTTGCCTAGCACAAGTGAGGCCCTGAATTCAATCCGCAGCACTGTGTTAAAAAATAAACAAAATTCTGGTGTTTTTTCTTCTAAATTTCATTATTAAGAATACTTTGGAGGGCTGGGGATTTGCTCAGTGGTTCCGCCACCTGCTTCACAAGCACAAGGCCCCAAATTCAATTCTCCGATACCCAAAAAAAAAAAATACTTTGGAGTGTGGGGGGGGTCAGTGATACATATATAGATAGATAGATAGATAGATCTATCTATCTATCTATCTATCTATCTATATATATATATACAAAAATATAAACTGCAGTTGAAGCAACTGACAATTGGCTGGATTCATACAATAATGCAATGTACAGCCTATCTATCTATCTATCTATATATATATATACAAAAATATAAACTGCAGTTGAAGCAACTGACAATTGGCTGGATTCATACAATAATGCAATGTACAGCCTGTCTGGGCTTGCATTTCTGAGTCAATAACTTGCTTCTAGGCAAGGAAGGGGCAGCACACTGAGTATACAAAAAACTTTTTTGAAACTTGTTTGTTCACTCATTCATTCATGGTACTGAGGCTTGAGCCACATCCCCAGCTCTTTTTATTTTTTATTTTGAAACAAGGACTATATAACTTACTAAGTTGCTCAGGCTGGGCTCGAACTTGTGATTTTCCCACCTCAGCTTCCCAAACTGCTGGGATGATAGGTGGGTGCCACCATGCCTGGCTGTTATTTCAGAAAATAAAAGCAGGTATGTTCCTGTAAAGTTATCTGAATTCAAAAAAGGAAGAAGTCTACCTAACTGAGAGGGAGAAAAAAAATCATCAGAAGGAGCATTAGTTTTATCCATGAAGGATGGGCAGCAGTTCATTAGTTAGAAGGAAGGGAGGGAGGGAGGAAGGGAAAGAGAGAAGAAGAAAAAGAATTCCTGGTGGTACTGGGATTTAGCTCAGTGGTGCCGCTGCCTGCTGCTTGCCTCATAAGCACAAGGTCCCAAGTTCGATCCCCAGTACCAAAAGAATTCCTGATAAAAGGAAAGATATGCGCAAAGGCCCAGAGGCCAGAAAGAACAAGGCATACTTTGTGCCCTGTGCTCAACATCTTTTCACTCTGGGAGGCATGGGTCCCCATGTGGAGATCTGGAGAGACGGTCACATCTCTCTACAGGTGGAGAAGACCTGGTTCAGGCTGGCCAATCACACTCCTTCCTTGTGGTCATTTAGTTGAGGGGTGGGAACAGGGCTGTGCCGGGCCAATCAGAAGCCCATGGGATGTGGCTGAGGCCCAGAATGTGGTCTTCTCTAGGACTCCTGTCTGTAAGAAGACACAAGCCCAAAGCTGTGGAAGTCATGAGAACGAAAAAAAACGGACCAAAAATCAGCGAGAGGATGAAAGAGTAAGTCCTTAAAATCCTGCTTGGTCTACCAGAACACGTACATGCGCCCACAGGTGCCCACAGCGAGCTGTTTGTCATCACTGAAAGCTCTACAAGGTTCCTACCGCTGTCCTAGACCCACCCACACTTGAAGAAAAATCCTTAAATTTCTTTCAGATATCTTTAAAATCCCCTTTATTGCTCAGGCTAAAATGGAGGGAAGCTTAACCCACATAATTAAGGACCAATGAACAAGTTTCATTCACATTTGAGAGAGAGGAGTGGGAGAAACAGGGTGTGTGTGTGTGTGTGTGTGGGTGTGTGTGTGTGTTGTAGGATTGCTTATTCAATACACTCAAGAAAAGACACATCCACTCCAGGGCAAAGAAACACCTTGCCCCCAAAGAGAATACACTCCTGACAACCAAGGGAAGGAATAAAATACCCAGAAATTGATTAATGGGCCAGAAAACAAATGACAGCAAGAAGCGGCTGGCTACAGATGCTCTTATCACAGCACCCACTGTCCACAGGTGGAGGCCCCTCGCTACCACGCATGGGAAGGACACTGGACACGCACCAGCCAGAGGAGGTAGAGGGCGAGGATGACCTGCAGAGGTGCCGACCAGATCATGTTAATGTACGTGGCCAAGTCCATGAACCGCTGGGCGTCCACAGACATGAGGTTGACGATCTCCCCAACTGTGGAGGACTTTCTGGCTGAATTGGTGATCACCAGGGCCTGAGGGATGAGGGAGAAGGAAAGAGGTGAGCGCAGGCAGCGACGAGCCCTGGACTCCCCCTGCCCCAGAGCAGAAGTGACTCTGGGCAGTGACAACACCACGGATCTCTTCTCTTCCCCTGCCAGTCCGGCTGCCTGCTCAACCAATCCGTGTCATCATGAAGACCACATGCTTATCAACCGCAGTCACTGCCTCCCCGTGGTGAGTCTTCCATGAGGAGGAGCCCTCAGATACCCTCAAGTGAGGGCCTTGTACACTTTAACTTGCACCTGGGGACCATGCGACCATGTGGCTTCTGACCAGCAGGTCTGTGACAGGGCCTGAGACTCTGCATTTCTAACAAGCCCCAGAGTCACGCAGATGCTGCTGGCCTAGATCCTGACAAAGGCCTCCAAGTCGAGGCCAGGGTTACTAACCTCAGCGTTCCCAGCATTTGGGCCTGGACCACTGTTTGTGTGGTTGTGCTGTGCAGGCATAGATGCTTTGCTAGGCAGCATCCCAGGCTCTACCCACTAGATGCTATGTCCTCAGTTGTAACAACCAAAAATGTCTCCAGACATTGTCAAACATCCTGGAGGGAACAAACTACTGGGTGGAGAACCCCTAGTCTAAGCCACTGGTTCTGAAATGTAGATCAACAGTATCACCTGCAGAGCTTTAAAAAATCTTTTTTTTTTTTTTTTTTTTTTTTTTT